TTGATAGAATGTCATTTGAATGGTTTATCAGTTGATTTTACTGCAAAAACAATTGTATATTTGAGTAATCTTAAATCGAATGTCTATGGAAATATTTATCATATGATCAATCGAAATAGTAAAATAAAATTTATTGATATAATTGATGGTATGCATACTTGTGGTATTGAATTGGAAAGTGTTTCATATAATGAATGGAAGATGAAAATGAAGAGATTTAATGATCAAAAGAATCCTCTTGAATCTGTATCAGAATTCTTCTCAAAGAGTGCTTTTAGCGAAAGAAGTTTAATATCAGCTGATCAGTTTTATGGTGCTGTTTGTGCATTAGATTTTCCATCCTTCGATAAAGATTATATTTGTAAATGGTTAAGTTTTATAATGCATAATATTGTTCGTAAATAGTATGTTTTGTCTTTATGTGTCATTTTTTTGCAGTTTGTATTACAAATAACACATGAATAATGAGTTAAATATTACTTCTCATTATGAACTGATTGAAAAGAATATCTTTATTAACATTAGCTATGTTGATCAAAATGTCGGCGAGTGTAGTGTGACAAATTAACGTCACGTCACTTGTAACATATAAGGATAATCTGACTCATTTTCAATTGAAAAATTTATTTAATTATTATGTGCAAAAGGCTAACTTTCCTTAAATTTTATATATAATTTCTTTATTGATCTGTTAACTCCCGGATATACTTTTCATATTGATTATACAAGAACATGGGTAAACACCAACATCTTTTTATTGCCTCGATTAATCCCCCTCCTGACAATAGAAGACAGAGGCCCAATCGAACTGAATTTTACTGATCCGAGTTCGGTTCGGTTCGTTTTTGGTCTCTGATGTAAAACAATCGATCCAACATTGTTTGATCATTGTTCGGAGCATAACAATTTTACAAAAAAGGTAATACATAGATCAATCATTTTTCTTATACGTTTGTCTACATTCGCTCGTTCTTCGAAAATTTGTTCAGATTCGGTTCAGATCGACGTTGTTTTTCATGAGTGTTCAGGAGGATCTTCCTATTGTGTCTGGTTCATTTTTATAATTTTTTATTGAAAAGTTTGTTCAGAAAACTAAAATTATTTTAAGGATTTGGGAAGAAATTTTTAAAGTTTTAAATGCTCAGAAATACGAGTTAATTAAAAAGATTCGCTTCGAGCTGAACCAAAACAATCCAATTGTTTATTCTTCATCATCTCTAGTTTGTAGACTTCGAAACTTTTAAATTTCTAAAAATAAGAAAATATTCATTTTATCTTTTCTTTGTATATTGAATGTTTCTGTTGGTAGTACTTATTGGAGTTTTCTAACAAAAAACATACATCTGATATTTATCGCAATCATACGCAGCTACAAAATAATACTTCTATACTTCATCTGTGTTCCTATATATGTATAATAATCAAATATTGTTTTAGTATCAGTTCAAACTAAATTTGTAAAGTTTAAAGCTCGCAAAAACTAATTGAGTTTTACATTTATGTCAGCTTCTAGAATTCAACTACTAAGGTGTTCATTGTAGTCACTCAACATATGATGCCTTCTGTAAAACTGAGAATAAAGATAGACTTCACTGTGTACACAGAGATGAGTATAGATCGTGGCTAGAGACGTGCAGAATCAAATATTAAAACTTTACAGAAATAGACACCGGAACTAAAATCGGAAACTATATGATATCTTTAAGTCCATCACTTTTCAAATGAAGTTTTTCGTGCATCAGAAATCAACTCATTATTTTCACACTAATATCTTGTAATACAAAAAAACAAATAATCATATTAATGAAGACGACATGAATAAATTAAAATCTGTAAGTTTTAAATCTTAACAAATAAACAAATCACAATCATATGTATGCCTAAATAAAAAATAAATAAATAAATAAATCCTTTCACCAACACGAACAACAAAATAAATCTTTCTCATCATTCGATTGGATCTGTTCACCTTGTTCACTGGATATTGCTTCATTGTCTTTAGAGAGTCGTCCTTTTTTTCTCTGTGAATCTGATTGTGGTTAGAGGTATGCGGAGCCGAACCTACTGGGAAAAAGCTACCAGACCTTGGTCCCGTACATCCTAAGTCGCAATGCTTCAGGATGTACTACGTGCTATCACGTTGTGATACCGATATAAAGGGTGAGTTATGTAGGCAAAGTGTTTTTCATGCGACTAGTAGTTTTGAATACTGCAAAGTTTGAAACGAAAATTCAAACATTTAAATGCTTTAATATTTTTCTTTGAAGTTCGCAACATTCAATAATTGATTTCTTGCTTCAAGTTTGAACAATATGAAACATGGAAAAATTCATACTTCAAGTATTCGAATTTAAACTTTCAAACCTAAAAAAACTTGAATTATTTAAATTTAAAACGATGTTTCGAGTTTTACATATATGATCCGACAACATTCTTATATACATTCTAGACAACTAGTTCTTGTTTATTATAAAACTGACTTATCCTTAACCTTCAGAGAGAACATGTTCTTGAAAAAGAAACTCTACTGAAACTCAATAGTAGGAACTATTGCAAAAAAAAAAAAAGACATCGATACTAAATTTATCTGTGATCAGATAGATCAGTTCAATATTGCATCTATATTAAAAATAAAATTCTTTTCAAAGTTAACAATATTGATATTACGATTTTAAACTATGATATTAACTTCATTTTAATGCACACTCCTACGAAATTGAATACTTATCATCGCGGCAAGTTTTTTGCTTTCTTTTCACTTGCATACTTTCGACCATAAAATAAACTAATCATGCGACAATCATTCTGTTCTGTACATGAGACAACATGCATTGATTTGTAAGTTTTCTGACTCAAGCGATTGCTTGTAACGTAGGCACAACACAGAGTGACGATCATTAGTTAAAAAAAGAAAAGAAAAAAACAACATTATTTAACCAAAATGGCATTTCAATCATTGGCCATAGACAATGATGAATTAATTCATAATGCCGTTTGTCAAGGTCATGTTATTTCTCTTGAAATTTATTTAAATCAAAATCCCAATTATATCAACAAATATTTTACATATAATCGATCAAAATGGACTCCATTATTAGCCGCATGTTATTATCGACATGAACATATTGTACGTATGTTACTTAATCGTTTTAAACCTGATATTGAAGCTAAAGGTACTATTGTTTTTGATACGTATGGTAATCAACGAAAAATTGTCAAAGATGTTTCACCACTTTGGACAGCTGTTGCTGTTAATCATTTTGATATTGTTCAATTATTAATTGAACAAGGTCATGCTAATATCAATCATTTAACAAAAACACATAGTACAACTTTTCGTGTGGCATGTTATAATAATAATCTTGAAATGGCAAAATATTTATTTGAACATGGTGCTAATCCATATCAAGCAAAAATAGGCAATTATACAAGTCTAATGCTTACTGCTGGTCGTCGAAATTTTATTATAGTTAAATATTTAGTAAATGAACTTCAATTTAATATAAATGAACAAGATAAAAATGGTCAAACAGCTCTTTATTATGCAATAAAATCTTGTTCATATGAAATCGTTAAATTTTTATTAGAAAATGGAGCAATGAATATTCGTGATAAATTAAGAAAAGTAACTCCACTTATGCGTGCTGCTCTTTATGGAGAAATAAATTTAGTTGAAGCTTTTGATGGTTATTGTTCAGATTTAGAATGGATTGAAGCTAAAGAATTACTTGGTGCAAGTTTTGGAGGATGTATAGCACATATTGAAAATTTAAATAAAACTATAGAATATTTAACTGAAGCATTTCAATTAAGAATACAAAAAAATTTACCTAAAATTTTATCTATTGAACCTATTGAAATATTTAATTTTTGTTCGGAATGTGAAACACTTGAACAATTTAATCAACTTATTTGTTTAAATGCAAGAGAAAATTTACATATTGAAACTATACGTATTTATCAACGTCTTCTCGGTGATTTGAGTAAAGATTATCATCATGTACTTCGTTATTATGGAGCTACATTAGCTGATGATCATCGATATAATGACTGTTTTCGTTGGTGGTTTTATGAAATTGATTTAAAAAAAAAATATAATATTAGTTTTAAGAAAGGACATTTACGTAGTTTTATTGATATTTTTATAGAAATGAAAGAGAATAATCAAATGGATATTCCTATTACTAGTTTAATGCAATTGTTGAAAATCATTGATAATGAACTTCAACTAAATTTTAAAAATGAAAATTTCGATTATAATTTACATACATTACTTTATACAATTACAATTATTGCTCAGATAATTTTTAGTTCTAATGAAAAAATAATACAAGAAATATCAATTAATGATTGTCAAGAATTGTTTAAATTAATTCGATTAATTATTCGACATGAATATAGAACAATAAAAGATAAATCGTCTCTTCTTCATTTATGTTCAAATAGTTTAACAGATAGTTTGATTGATGAAATTAAGTAAGATAATAATAAATTATATATATTCTATTTGATGAAACAAGAAAGTATTTATTTTAGTTATCCATGTTGGATGACAGTTCGTTTATTAATTAATTGTGGAGCAAATGTAGATGTTTTAGATTCAAATAAAAATACTCCATTACATATAATTGTTCAAAATGTTTCAATATTTAATGTAATTATCATTATGGATATTTTATGTAATTTTGGTGCTCATTTGGATTATGTTAATAATAAAGGACAAACTCCAATTGAATCAATACCATCATTTCAAAATGAAATAATTCAACATTTCAAAGAAAAGATGGGTGTTAGACAATTGAAATGTATTTGTGCTCATTTAATACAAAAAGAATGTTTTTTATATAGAAAATTTCTTTCGACATCTCTTATTAATTTTGTTCAAAAACATTAAAGATTTATATAATAAATTTTATAATATCGAAAATTATGATATGATCTTGTTACTTGATTTAATTTATGTTTTATGTTGACATTAATTGCAGAAATTGAGCAAATATAAGGACGGATTTAAATTTTCAGAAGATAAACAAATTTTGTTATTATTAGTTTTGATTATTATCGTTAAATTTTTACTTCTACAGACAAACTCCATAGATTATTTTTTTGGATAGTTCTCTTTAGATTTTTTTTTTGCCGAATAGCTTCAAGTTCTTGTGATATCGTTTTAGAAATATATGCATGAATAAAATAGGCTAATGGTATTAAGTTCGTCTTAGCTTTTAAAATGAGTGGCTGAATGAGACTAAAATTTTGTCGAACTTCCCTCCTCCCCCCCTGGGATGAACTTTGTTTCTTTTTAAGGAAGATTTCACATGTAAGAAAATAGAAAACAATCTGATTTTTAACTTTAAAGATAGATTTCATTAGATTTTTATCTTTCTTAATCAATTTTTAAAAATCAGCTTTTTTTTTTGATAAAATTACATTAATTGATTAAAAATACTACAATCAATTAAAATATATCTTTAAAGATGAACAATCAGATTTCAATCAAAATTAAATAGTGCTATTTTAATCAGTTTTATTGTGATGTTCCATGAAAATTTTTTACATGGATTTTACATCTCACAACTGGTAATGTTCAGGAGTCTTTATTATGCGAACGTTTTGGAACCTTCATTTAGTCAATAAATAAAAGCAGAGTATTTATTTGATACAATGACATGCCTCATCTACACATAAGAATAAGTACGCTATCAATTGCATTAAATGCCATGGATGTTTTTGAAGTAGAATAGTGTAACTAAAAATAGGAACTGATTTCACTCTTTAAAATTAATCAGCAGGTATTTTACTCGTAAACGCTTCTGTTAATAAGCGATAGTCCTCAAGAAGTTGGAATATTTATGAACGTATTTTGGTCTTTCGGTTTCAATAAGTAATTCGACTTATCTCTCATGTTGTTGTTTACAAGCATTAAAATTGTCTGATCTTATTCAACTTGTGATCATTATGATAATAAACTTTTTATAATGTTCTAATAAATGACTGCAGAAACCGAGTCGACCCATCAAAGAGTAATTTGATTCCGAGGCCTAATACATAGTCATTTTTAGAAATCGAAGACTAAATTCTTACATTCGATCAAAATTAATACCTTTGCAAAATAATTGTTAGGTTTATTCGTAAGTGCTGACTATAAGTCAAATTAAAGAGAAGTTCTACCCAATCCTCCTTGGAATAAAATTGCTTTAACATCAGTATGTGACATGCCATGTATATATGACCAAATAAAGCAAGAAGATTTCAGCTATTTATTTTGACTACCTTTAGAATAAAGTTAATGCAAAATTATTTCTAGTTGTTCATCCTCCTATCGTTTATTGCTTTCAAGAATAATTTCATCAATACGATTCATTATTGAAAATTGTCAAATCGGCAATAAAATCAGATTTTTCAGTCACATAAAAATACTTTCACTTGTATTTCTCGATATGAATCTAGTTTGGTCTAAATCTGGTAGGACATACAACTCTGTCATAGGAAATAAATAACTGAAACATTAGAATTCATATGGAAGATATTTTCTCTTGTAAAAATCTCATTACTTTTCACATTTAATAATCTTCAAATGCTATGAAAATATACAAAATTGATTTTTTTTTGTTTGTCTGGAGGCGTCATCTATCGATTCACTTTTCCTATTCATACCTTTTATTTGCACCAATTATATAAATCATAGAGTTCTCGTTAAATTTTCTTCTTTCTTGGTTGTTAGTTCATGCCTGAATCATCTGTAAACTTTTACTCGATTCTTGCTGGTCTTTCTGCTTGTTTAGCATCTGTTTTTGGTAAATTAACATTCAGTCAATCAACATTTACATCAATATTCACAATTATTTATATAATTCTCTTTATTTTTTCTAATGTTTTTATGTGGCGTTGTTATTCAAAAGCATTAAGTTTATCAACAACAAGTATTCAACCAACAATTGTTACTAAAACTAGTAATTTTCTTCTTTCTGCTTTGGTTGGTTTTATATTCTTTTTTGAACCTATTAATTTTATTTGGTTAATTGGTTTTATATTAATTCTTATTGGTGTTTATTTAATATCAACTAAAAATGACTACATCAACACACAAATATCATCCCATATCGACTGAAGATGATGATGGAAGACCATCAGCATCTATTATAGAATTAACAAGTGGAAAACCATCTATAGATGATTATCGTTCAATTGCTAATTATCAATCTGCTTTTTCATATTCAAGACAAATTAATCTTCATGCTTTAACAGGTGAGTAAATTTATTAATAATATAAAAAAAAAAAAGAACAGAAACGATTTATGTGCAATTCCTTTTTTGTTGTTTTTTTGTTTAGAAAAACGTCCATTAGTTGGTATTGAAAAATTAGCACATCATTTTGTAATTCTTTTTTGTGCAATTTTTACAATTCTTCTTTTACCTTGGTCATTGATTTTTGCAGTTAAAGTAAAATGGTTTTTTTTTTGTTCTTAAAAAATATATTTGAATAATGAATAAATATTTAGCGTGTTCGTCGAAATGAACAATTAGTTGTTTATCGTTTGGGTCGTGTTCAAACTCCAGCTCGTCGATCAGGTTTAACTTTAGTTCTGCCATTTGTTGATTATGCAAAACGTATACGAACAACACAAAATAGTCTTGCTATTTCTCCTACTCAAGTACATATAAATTTGTTTTCTTAATGATTATTTGATGAATTATTTTAGATTATTTGCCATGATAATTCAATAATTGAAGTTAATCTTTGTGTTGAATATAATATTGATGATCCAATACTTGTATCAAATAGTCTTAATGATATAACAGTATCATTAAAATCTTTAGCACGTTCAACATTAGTTTCATTAGTTAGTAAAACTGATGGAATGAAAATTGAACAACAAATTTATACAATTGAACTTTCACTTAAAGTACAAAAAACAAAACTTCTTCTTGTTTATTTAAATTTTATTTAAAAAAAAATTTTTTTAATTTTTTAGAATGAACTTAATCGTTTTGTTCGTAAATGGGGTATTGAAATAGCTAAAGTTAATATGTAAATAAAAGTTTTTTAAAAAGAAAAAAAAAAGAAATTCTTTTTCTTTTTCGTTGATTAATTAGTGTACAAACAAAAATTATTTCAACAGTAGAAGAAAATCAAAATAATCAAGCATCCTTACATCCTGCACTTGATGTGTTTACAAAAATTTTTGCCGGTATTATGCAACAACAACAACAACAACAACCGATGACTGCGCCAACTACAGGTAAGATATATGGATTTCGATAAGACAAATTCTCATAGGATTTTGTGAAATACAATCTAAAAGGAATGTTGAAGTATAGAAGATGGGACTTTGTAAACGTCTACATCAAATAGAAATTTGTTTTTTTTTTCGAGAATAAAAAATTATATGATCATTCGTAACACTTCATAAGACTTACGAGGGAACATTCCCAACTGTCACATCGCTTTTGAGTCGAGCGTATGCGCATCATGTGGACCCTAATGATCTATGAATAATCAGATAAAAGTTCGTGCCGCTTGTTTATTACTATCGAGATATTGCATTTTTACTGTATGTTTAAGAAAAAAGGTCGTGGTCCCGCTCAGGCACACTAGAAAAACTAAGTTTCGAATTTCAACTTGAAACTTTGTGCAACGACAGGTCTCAATGAGAATAGTTTATTGTGAAAGTTTCAGATCTTTTGATCATTCCCAATCTGAAATAAGAACATCGGAATCTGCTGATGTATATAAACTATTTTACCATAGCTGTATCTTAGGATAGAAACGAAAAGATCTGAAACTTTCACAATAAACTATTCTCACTGAGGCCTATTTCTATGCAAAGTTTCAAGTCGAAATTCGAAACTTAGTTTTTCTAGTGATCCTGAGGGAGACCACGACCTTTTTTCTTAAACATACAATAAAAATGCAATATCTTGGCAGTAATAAGCAAGCAGCACGAACTTTTTTCAGAGTATTCATAGATCAATAGGGTCTACGTGATGCGCATACGCTCGACTCAAAAGTGATGTGACAGTTGGGAATGTTCTGTCGTTAGTAAGGATTGTAAAAATACTTCATGATCTTGTTTTTCTGAATTCTGAAATTTGATGCTCTTAGTATTACAACAATGTCCATATTTCAACTGAAAACTTTGTTAAAATATTCTTTGAAAACATTTTCTTACATGACTTATACAAAATTCGAATATCCACTATCAGTATTCTATTAAATGAAATAATTATGACAAATCATTTTCTATTTTATTCAATTTATCTTATTGATATATGCCCTATATTCATTGTATTCCAAATGTTTCAACCGTAAATAGAAAAAATTTTCAGTATAAGTTATTTATTTTTTTTAGTTAAATCAACTCATAATTCTACTTCACCTGTACTTCAATTACTTGTTCAACGACTTAAATCTGTTGTAAATGAAGAACTTGTTCGACAAATCAAAACAACATATCAATTTAATATAGCAACATTAGGACAATTTTATCTTGATCTTAAAAATGGTTTATAAAATAAAGAATTATTTAAAATATCAAAAATCTTTTATAATTCTTTATTTTTTTATGTTTAGATCATGGTTCTTGTGATATTGGTCCATATCCATTATCATCAATTGATGTAACAATAACATTATCAAATCCTGAAGATTTACGATTATTATCAACTACTGATTCTAATGAACTTGTACAAGCTTATTTAAGTCAACGTATTACAATTGATGGTTCATTACAAGATGCAATGAATTTAAAATATGTAGCTGATGCTCTTCGTCGAGATAATATTCTTCTTTTTAGTCCAACTATTTCAAAATAATTTTTTTTTCTTTTCTTTTAAAAATAAAAAATAAAAAAATCAAAGAGCTTACTTCATTTGTAGATCATGTTATCAAATTTAATCATTCGTTATCGTTTAATAACTGATCAATTAATTCGATATAGTCAATTTTTATTTTCTTCACCAACATTTGCATTTGTTGATATGCCAACAACAACAACAACAATAACAACTCCAAAATCATCTTTACCTGATATGTCAATATTATTAACTCAAAAACATCGTGCAACTATTGAACGTCGTCGTATTCGACGTCATTCAGATTTACCAATGTCATTAATGATAAAATATGGTACACCACGTCAAGATCTACATCAATGTTTAGAATGTGGTACATGGCATGAAAAAAAAACTATATGTGGAAATTGTTATGATCGTATAAGAAAAGAAACTCAAGCTATGAAAGATTCATATCCAAATAAAGATGAATTTAATCATAATCATCCACAACAAGAAATTGTTTATGTTTATAAAAATGATGAAAAATTTCATGATGATACTAAACGTATTGTTGAAATTCAACGTGAACGACCAACATGGTTTTCAAAAAATTTAATACCAAAAATAAATACAACGAAATAGCAAGAGAAAAAAAAGAAATAGAAAATTTTTGTTAGTTTTTGTTATTTAAAAATAAAGACAAAAAAAAAACCGGAATGTCTTTTGTTTTTTAATAAATTCGTGTGTAATTATCATAAACATGTGAATCTGGCATTCTTTCTCGTATATGATCTAATTGTTCAAATAATATTCCATAGTCATCTTGATTATATCGTGGATGAATTGATATAATTGGTTTTGGTAAATGATTTATTAATTGTTTATAATGAAGTAAATTATAATAATCACCATCATCATCATCATCATCATCATCATCATCATCATCATCATTTTCTTCATGTGTTTCATAATGATTTTCTTGTGGTTGAATACCAATACAAGAAACTGATGTTAGAAGTATTGGTAATAATGATTGATTTCGATTGATTTTCATAGAAGATGGAGTTGCCGATGAAGTTGATGCTGCATAGTTATATGAACGTGTTGTTGTTTGTTCAATGATTGATGACCGTCGAATAGGTGGTAATAGAATTTCTTGTTTAATAAAACTTGATTCTTTCTTCTTCAATACTGGTGGCATAGAAAGACGATAAGGTTGAGTTTGTTTTAAATCCGTATTTGAAGTTATTTTAGGTGGTGTGTTGGATTTTTTTTTTGATGAAACTGTACGATGTTCAATAGAATCAGAAGAAAGAGTACCATGAATTTGACTACGACAAATACTAAATGTTTTACTATGAACTTTTTGTTTGGTTTTTTGTTGTTGTTTTAAATTTTGTGGAGATGTATTTAATGAATTATTTCTAGTAACATTTGTCCTTTCTATTGAATTACTTTGTGGAAATGTTGATGGACGCAGTGGAGAACCAGAGATTTTTGTACGATCATATAATTTAGCTTTATTTAAAGATGATGATCTTCTAGTATTTATTGTATTATTATTTTCTTGATCGTCGAATACAGGATTTATTAATGTCTATTATGAAAATAAAACAATAATGTTATTTCTGATTGATTTTGTTCCTTATGTAGATTAGGAAATTATAACAAAAAGACAAATATACGTTTTATCGTATTGAATTTTAAAAAAAAAACTTTTCAATACTTTTATAGTTAATTGAGATGCTAGAAATCCGAATTTTTTTTTTATTTGAAATAAATAAATAATTCATTACTTCTCCGAATTGTTGATTGTATGTATTTGTTTTCGAAGCTATAATTTCAATATGTCGTTTCTGTCTGGTCTTCATTAATTTTCGTAATTCAATTAAATCTCGTTGTATTTGTGAATGTAATGGATTAATTTCAATAGAATTTTTATCATTACTTTCTTTCAATGCTATTGTTGTTGGAGTAATATAATCTTTTACATCATTAACTTTTGATTCTACAATTTGTTCTTGTATAAATGGTGTAATATCGGGAAAAGGTAATGGAGAGTCTACTTTTGGAGGTGAAGAAGATTTATGTTGAACAGCTGTTGCTACTTCATACCAATGTCGTTTTAATGAGCGATAACGATGTAGCCGTTCAGTAACACGCATATTAAAATATTGTAATGGAGGTGTTGTTGATGATGATGATGATGATACGTATGAAATAAGAGGACTTTGAAATAAATTTTGAAGATCTTTCATATTAGATACTGAACGTCGAGGTGAACAAGGTATCGATGCCATTCTACTACTTACTAACATCTTTTTTTCTTTTATCTAGATAAAATAAATACTTCATTATATAAAAAATAAATCTCATGTATTCATTCTACAGCTTACTTGATTTCTTTTAATATATATTTAAGATCCAAGACATAAATTATAAAATATTATTAATGTATTCTTTTTTCAGATGACTATCGTATAGAAAGTGTAAAAAAAAAAAAGAAGAAACTGCACCGTAACTTTATGTGAGAAGTATGTGTTTTTCTATTTAAATTAATTTTGATATGATACGTCTGTCGACTATTTGAAATATTTGAGAAAAAAAAAAGAAAAAAACAAAAAAAAAAAGAAAGCTTTCATTTGAAGGGCATTGACTCTGTAAATAAAAAGACAGAATATCTTTCCTAATTTAATCTATACCTCAGAGTGTAATTCATAAAATTGAATGACACTGCATATTTGATATATTTTTCAAATTAATTTCTTTTTTTTTTTTCAAGTGTGCAACTTGATTGAAATAGGATATTTTTACAAAAAAAATAACTTCATCTAGCTCAATTGTTTTTTTTTTTTGCAGATATAATTGAAAGAAAAAAAAAAAAAAACTTTTTCGATTGATTTAAAACAATGTCTAAAGTCAAGAATAGAATGAAAAGAAAAAAAGATTCGACGACAAATGAAAAAGAAGATTCTATTATTCAGACAGTCATGAGCAAGTGAGAAAATAAATTTTGATTAGTAAATAAAAGAAAATTATTTTTAATCATAGATATTTTGAAAAAAAAAGTGAAGAACAAAAAGAAACAATAAATTCAACGGAAAATGATATTAATAATATTAATGAAGCAACAAATATTGTTAAGTAAATATGAATATATTAATAATAAAATATAATTTAACATAATTAACAGATAAAAACTATGTTATGCAGTTGTCTTCTAAAAGAATAAGAATGTAAAGGATCTCTTAAAATTCTCTTTTATAAGTATAACTTGAAAAATTAGTCGGGAGCTGTTACATTGTAATGCAAATATATGGAAGCCACAAACGAGTCTTATCTCTTGTACTATTCTAAACTGAAGCATGTTTAATTATAGAATAATAAAAAAAAGCGAATGCATTGTTAGAAATTTTCGATTGTCAACAGGCTTATAGTAAAATTAAAAATGCTAATAATCCTTCTTTTAGACGTATGAAATGCCTTGAGTAGAAATATTTGGCATGAGCAGTACGAATACATAGGTTTTATTTAATGAATTAATTTCATTGGAATGATATCATTGATATTATATTATTTAAAATCTCTTCTCTTCCCTTAAAAAAAAGTCAATTTTTATCAGAAAAATCAAAATTCAGTTGATAGTCCACAGTCTTATCTTTCCTAAGCGACATCATTTTTTTATTTGGTACCTCGTTTTTTGCCAAAATTTTTGATGATTTCCATCACCTTCGGCTTGAAAAATATGCTTTTTTTCCTATAAAATCTGTTTGATGTTTTCGATCGCGCATCCCACAATTCTCGAAGAAGCCTCATTGTAAATAATTGTTTTTCTTTTTGTTGGAAAGATCATATAAAACTGCAGGCTCTGGCAGAGCGTATTTTTTGAATTAAGCTTTTTTTAATTATTATATAAGAAACACTTCTATAAATAGATGACCATTTTTTTTAGAAGTTTTCGAGGTATTGAAATTGGAATCTTTTTTCTCTGCATCAAAAGTAAGAATGTAAAAAAAAAGACGGTGTACTTTGACATATTCCTTCAAATAGAAAAGAAAATTAAATCTATAGAATGAGAGCCCAGAGAGAATTTCGGGTTGTCAAATGAACTATTTTTTATCCTTGTTGATGGAATATCTCCAGAAAACGTCATGATATAGGACTGAAGATTTTATTATAGGCTCTCCATTACAGCTCCAACATATCATGAAAACTACATGGGATTTGAATGCATATAACCTAAGATCGATTTTTGAGGTAGGATGAAGACTTAAATAAATGTCACAGTTTAAACAGCTATTATCACAATTGTTGCGAGATTAATATGTGAAACACGACGTAGATACTGTTGCTAATTATAGAAGATTGCTTTATTCGATCTAGTTTGAAACATATTTCTTCAATATCCTTTTGCTTAATCCTCCAGAGATGCAATACGGAAGTAGTTCATATATAGTAACGAGACGTTATTAGTATATAATTCTTGATCGTATATCAACAACATCTGTGACGGTCTCCAACTAACGTCTGCCACGATCTGAGGTGAAGGAGGGAGGAAATCCAAAATTATACCTCTGCACTTCAAGATTCCTTTTAGATCGGTTTTTTTTTACAAAAGTATATTTTATTTGTTCACTTTAACTCCTGGATATATTTTCGATACATTAACATCCTGTTCCATATCGATATGATCGAATGTTAGTTTCAAGGAATATTTTTTCAGCTGTTGTATTATGACATGAGATTAGCTTGAAATTTATACATTGATTTCATTGAATAGCTGAATGTCATGATAACTGATTGAGTCATAGAATATTAAGTTTATAAAATGATTACTATGTCAAAAAGGAGGAAATGTGTTTTTTTTTGTTAATTGAATATCAATAATAGAAATGAGATTGCGTTTATTTTAATAGAAAACGACGAAAAGTAGTTAATGATGATGGAAATGATCGAAAATGGGAACCACCTCATTGGAGGGTACTTTTTATTTTAAATAATTATTCAACGTTTTATTTTATTTCTCTTACAAGGAACATTGGGCTAATATTTTAGCAATGCGAATAACAAATAAACATTTAGAACCTCGTGGTTGTGATACTATTGGTGACACAATTGCTGATGAAAAAGTTAGTTTTCTATTATTCGTTTATTTATTTTTCTTGGTAAAGCCAAAAAAAAAAATATTATAAATATTTTTAGATTCGTCGTTTACACGTTCTTGTTAGTTTAATGTTATCTAGTCAAACAAAAGATACAATGACAATTGCAGCTATGGATCGTTTACTTGAACGTGGATTTACTGTTCAATATGCACTTGATATTGATGTTGATGAATTAGCGAAAATTATTTATCCAGTTGGTTTTTGGCGAGTAGGATAAACAAAAGATAATTTTTTTTTTCTTAAATATTATTTTATTGGTTTTCTTTTTTATTTTAGCGTAAAGCTCAATATATCAAAGATACATGTCAGATATTACGTGACAAATATAATGATGATATTCCAAATACAATCGAAACTTTGTGTGCACTACCTGGTTAGTTACGTCATCGTAAAATAACACAAATATAAGTTTATTATTTATAGGTGTTGGTCCAAAAATGGCTTATTTAGGTAAATTATTACAGTGAATTCATTAACATTTTGTGAAATATGGATTGCATGAATTTTGCAGTTGACTTGCGGCAATTGCCCACAATTTTGTAATAGGGTGTGAGTAAAATGAATACCTATACTCACACCATAATTAGTGAATTTATCACTTAATTTAGACTTTTGGTCATAGTCAAAACTTGTGTGTTTTGTGGATTTTCGTCCTTAGCAAGACTAAACATTCAGCAATTGTCAAAGGTCAACTGGGCAAGTCAGTGCTGCGAAACTCGTGTTTCCCTAAAAGATGATCGAAAAGAAGTATGGAAATATAATAATAAAAATGTAGACCCTCTCATCCTCTCCTACAGACCGTGATAGACGCTGTTGATTTAGATTAAAGACTGTATATCAATAACGTCTTGCTATTATATCGGGTGGCGCTGAATAAATTGGCATCTTAGTATTTTTGAATTTTTTTCCGTTATTATCCCCTTGATTGAAACACTTCTTTTTTCATCAAAAGATAATACTTGAAATTCTGTACAAAATTGTATACTTTATTTCATGAATATAACTTCTTCCATTTTATTGGATTCAACGTAATTGTACAGCTAAATGAAGTACAAAATTTTTTTCAATTTCTTTTGACGAAAGGTTTTATTTGGTCTATTAATGTTGCCTTTGTTGTTATGTGGTTTCAATAGATAGCTTCAGCCAATCACTCTATAAACTATAATCTAATGAACATAAATTACGCGAATTCGATAGTCAACTGCTTTTCGAAATAAATTCAGGAAAATGAACAGCACAGCATTTTTGACTTTAGTGATGGATGTGAGATTTTGCACCATCTCGTTGACATATCCACTTGTTTTCTAACTTTTTTATTGCCAGATTTTAGAGCTACTGAAATAACGTCGTTGAGGTATCTTTCTTCGTCAATCATTCCATCTTTCAAAGTCATCACCATTGTCAGTCCTTGTCCACATACATCTAATTACACCATCACCTTTACCAGACATTTCGTCTTTGTATGAACAGCACCTTTCTTGTCTACGTCTATCCTGTTCAGTCCACACCTATCCTTTCTCAGCATTGTAATTAATTGATGAATTGAACTGAATAAAGCTATCTATTGGAATCATGTAGCAACAAAGACAACATTGATAGATAAAATAAAACCTTCCGTCGAAAAAATTTAAATTGTTTACTTCATTTGGCTGTATAATTACGTTTAATCCAAAAAGAATAGAGGAAACTATATTCGCTAAGTAAAGTATACTATTTTGTATAGAATTTTAAGTGCTATCTTTTGATTAACAAAGTATTTCAATCAAGGGGATAAAAAAGAAAAAAAATTCAAAAATACTAAAAGGGCAATTTATTCTGCGCCAGCCGATATATGAACTACTTTCCTATTGCATTTCTGGCGAACAAAGTAGAAACATGGTGAAGAAATGTATTCCAAAATATATCGCATAGAACAATCCTTCTATGGTGGACAACAGCAGCTAAATCGTGTTTCACATTTAAATCCTGTAGAAATTGCGCTCATAACTTTTTTTTTCATTTTAATTTTAAGCTATGGATTTTGCTTGGAAATCTAATCAAGGCATTGGGGTTGATGTACATGTACATCGTATTTCACATCGTCTTGATTGGTTACCATATGATACAAAAACACCCGAACAAACACGTTTAGCACTCGAATCTTGGATACCAAGGTAATTTATTTTATATGATAAAATAATTTTTGCTATAATTAATGAAATTTATTTCTAGAGATTTATGGAATCAAATCAATCATAATTTGGTTCGTTTTGGTCAAACACAATGTCTTCCAGTTCGTCCACGATGTTCAACTTGTTTAAATAGAAATATATGTCCAGCGAGTACTAGTAAAGATACAACAAAACATTTAAAACAAAAATAAATTTGATTTGTTCGTTTTTTTTTATATTCTTATTGATCTATGTATAAAGTCTAAACATGTATTTATTTTAAAATAAAATGAAATCTAGAAGGAATAAAGATATTTAGATTTTTTAATTTTTAATGCTTGTCAGTCTTATCTTTATATATTATTCTTTCCGTTTTACATTACACTTTTTGAAGGACATCAGAATACAAAAATAATAGGATATCCGACATAACAAAAAAAAATAAGTCTAACAACATTTGAATAATAAGTTATCCAATAGAATAGAAGATTTCGTCAGATTTTTCTAGTTTTTTGACCTATTATGTGACGACAACGTATTATTTTTGTGCTTCGAGTTTAGTCAATATTATTTTAACTATTGTTGCATTTGAAGAAAGAAAGAAAAAAAGGGATTCGTATGTATTTCTGCCAGTGAACTCGAACGAAACGTATTGCTTTCACCTTGGTAATCGTAGACATTACAGTGGCAACTTTCCTCTTCTTATTAACGTCAACTTCGATAAACAAGATTGTAAGAAGAAAATGTACGTATGCTTTTATAAATCGTCTATCATAAAAAAAAAAAGATTGGAATATTCAACATAGTTACATATGAGTTATGTTTTGTTTTTATATTTGAAAAATTAAAAGTATTTTTTTTCTTTCTTATCACTAAAAACCACACGGCTACTAAGGTCATTAGATATATGTAATAATAATGTAAATGCAAAAAAAGAAACGCATAAAAATATTTATAAAAACAGTTCTGCTGCAATTAAATATATATAAAAAAAAACAAGAACAAAATTTACTTTTCTTTAGTTGAATTTTATTGCGATTGTAATCAATACAACAAATTATTATTGTCAGATTCAATAAAAATAATGTTGGATACAACACGTATTACTCATTATCTTCCTTCATTTTCATTTTCATTTGAATATAATATTCGATTTCATCTTCAACGTCTTCATCTTCGTGCAAAATCAGCATTTATATCACTTCAAGATATGCCGCATTATCCATTACGATTTAATCAAGTTCCACCACTTTTTTGTGAACCTTTTATTTTACGTGGCTTTCGTTCAATTCATCAACCATGGTCTTATTATTTGAAATCTTTATTTCATAAACATAATGAAACAATTAATGTTTGGAGTCATTTAATAGGAATTTTATATATGGGATATTTACTTTTTTTTTATTATAATAAAAGATTAAATTTTTATGAAAATTCTCATTCATGGCCATTTGCTGTCTCATTATGTACAGCAATAATAATGTTTATATGTTCTGCATTTGCTCATTTATTTCATTCAAAATCTGAAAAAGTTCATATGTCATGTTTTTTAATTGATTTTATTGGTGTTAGTTTCCATGGTTTTGGTTCAGGTTTTCTACAGATTTATTATTCTGCACCACAATGGTTTTACGAAAAAATTGAATATTATTATGTATTTATTCTTCTTATACTTGGAATTTTAGCTTGTTTTCTTAATTGTTTTGCACAATATTATTATTGTCGACCATATCCACCTATAAAACGTATTTGTCAATTTTTTCCATGTGGACTTTTATGGATTTATTCAATTATTCCATTATGTATACGTTTATATTCATCAAATATTTTATCACATCCAGCATTAATATGTCATTTAATACAAATTATTTTATTTCTTATTGGTGCTACTCTTTTTGGTTTTGATTTACCACAACGTTGTTGTCCTGGTGTATTTGATTTTATTGGACAAGGTCATCATTTATTTCATTTATGTATTTATTTCGTAACTGTTTGTCAAATGCATGGTGTCTATTGGGATTATGAAGAATTTCAAAAAATAATTGATCAACGAAGTAAACCAGAATTAATATTTTGTGCTGGTTCAATGTTATCTCTACTAGCATGGGATATTATTATTGTTTGTTTTTTTCGACGAAAAATTCATAAAAAATATCATATGCATTAAAAAAGATTTTTTTTTTAAGAATTTTATATAATAAACTATCGATCAACTATGATAAGTTGAAGAAAATAAGATAAATATAAACTAGGTCATTTTTTGTAACAATCAAAAATGTAAGCCGAAATATTGACGTCATCACAATCGTATATTTGCTTATTAAGTATTGTTAAGTATTTAGAAAAAAAAAACGTGAAAAAATTTTGGTTTTTTTTTTTTTGGTAAGTTGAAAGTGAAAATTTAATATCGATAGTGAATTATGAAAGTATGAAAAAAGAAAACGAGAAAAATGAATTGAAAATATAACATATTTTATTGAAATAAGTTAAATTAACAGAAAGCATAAGCAAATTTAAAATTCATCGAACATTTATTTATGAAAGGTTAAAGTTCAGGACAGAGAATAATATTTAACATTGTATCAGTAACGATTGATTTACATACGTACAATGAAACCACGTTTTTTTTTCTTTCTTACTTTCTTTTATCGAGTAATAGAGATAACAATATTTTCTTTTTCTTTATAAACTTGGGTCGTTCTTTTCTTTACTTTTATTAATTTGTATGATGTCTTCTAAACCACATAATCCACAATTAAAAATATTTCGAACAATATGGGGTGCTGAAAGTCAATTTTCATCTGATATTAATGTTTTATTCAGTGAACTTCATCGTCTTGGTTTCGATGGTATTGAAGCATCACTGAATGATATTCATCGTTTATCAAAAAATAACGATGAATTTTTCATAGAAACATTATCAAAAAATCAACTTGAATTAATTGCAATTTGTTATACAAATTGGGCTGATTTTGTACCTGAAACATGGGAAGATTTAACAGTTGATGAACATTTAAATAATTTAAAAAGAGAATTAGAACAAGTGATGAAATATAATCCAATTCATATTAATATTCATGGAGGACAAGATAATTGGACATTAGAACAACAAGAAGCATTTTTTCAAGGAGCATTAGATTTACAAGCTAAATATCCAAATGTAACATCATCACATGAAGTTTGTTTATTATTCTATTACATTTTATTAAAATATTAATACATATATATATATTTTATTCAGACTCATCGTGGTCGTTCTTTATTCAATCCAACACTTACATTACATTTAATATCTCGTTTTCCAAATCTTCGTTTGACTGCAGATTTTTCACATTGGTTAGTTGTATGTGAACGTCTTCTTAATCATCCATCTGATATAGAACGTATGCGTCAGATAATATCACGTGTTGATCATATTCATGCTCGAGTAGGTTCTGTTGACCATGCTCAAGTTAACGATCCCCTTATTAATGCACCAAAAGAAACTCAACTTATGCAAAATTGGTGGCAAATGATTTGGACTGAACATATGAAACAAAATAAAACAATAACAACATTAACACCTGAATATGGACCAATACCATATGCTATGTCAAGTGATATTGATGTATGGAAATTAACAAATCAAGAAATGGAACGACAAAGAAATAATTATCAACAATGGATCATTCAAAATCAAGATTAATATTTGATTTTAAATAAAACATAATCACATGAACATATTCTTCATAAATCGACTTACTTAAAATAGTTAAGTATGATAAATATTATTGCAAAATTATGAAAATATTCATGAAATTTTTTTTTTGTTATCAAGTTTTACTTATGCATTTGAATGTAGCTAAAATAAGAGATACAGAATTTCCTAAGATTTCTTTTTCTTATTTTTTATATAGTAGAAGTAATTATATTAGACATTCTTTTTTTATTGTAGAGTAAACACATCAAGATTAATATATAATTATGGAATTATAATTTTAAAGCCTTTCGAAATTTTTGATGATATATTACATAAATAATTGTTTGTCATGTCATGATCATTTCCTTTTTTGTTTCTCGTCCGAAAAATATAAATATTGTAAATCTCTTTGTTTGTCATTGTTACAATGATTCAAATCAAACTAGAAAAATATATTCAAGTGAAAGTATTCATAAGCGGACCTCACCAGGTGTTTAATTGCTTTTCAACTGCGACAGTGTTTATTTGATGAGTACTAGTAAATAATAGAAAAGTTCAGAATAGTTTTGTTTTCCATATCTTCATTATTGAGATATCGAAATTTTACTGAATTTTTCAACAAAAAAATCTGATCTCCCTGACGCTACATGAAAAATCGACTTTCTAGTTTCGATTTCAAGCTTTACACGAACAAAGTTTTCAATGAAATTAGTTCGCTAGACAAATTGTAACTTTTCTAGCACCTCTCATCCTGAGGTATTGAATATTCGAAAATCTCTCATGCGCAGAAGCAAATTTTGTTCGTATATTTACACTTTCAGAACGGAAATAATAGAAAAGTTATAACTTGCCCAATGAATTATTCTCAGTGAGATCTTTATTCATGCAAAATTTGGAATCGAAACTAGCACCTCGATTCTTCACGTGATATCAGAGAGATCACAGCCTTTTTACTGAACAACTCAGTAAGATTTCGATATCTCAAGAATGAAGGCTCGGAAAAGCAAAACATTCTAGATTTTTCTATTACTCACTAGTACTCATCAAATGAATATCGTCTCGGTCGAAAAGCAATTTGATACCTGGAGCAGTTCCCTCCCTAGTTTACTGTGGTATTTGAATAAGAACCCTTTTATCCTTATGTCACCGATACTTTCGACTATATGACTATGAATACGTAAGATAACTATGACTACTCAATTATGCAACCTGTAAAAACATTTTCAATACAAGACACACCATACTTATTAGGTGTCGTAAAGTACCCAGGTACTGAGACAATTTACATAGTGTCTAATTAAATATCTTTCATATACTGATAGCAAGATAGTTTTTTCAAATTTCCTGTTAGATTTGTCTCAGTAAACAAGAATCTAGAGCACAATATTTTCGATAGTGTACATGATTTTCGTGTAAAAGAAATAAAATCAACAGACATGTTCAACTCATTTTGATTATTCTTTTGAGTTATTATTTGAAGTTTTGATGGTAAAATTTTATCATAATAACCATTTCGAACAGATATAACATCCTTTGCTTTGGAATAAATAATTCTTCTAAAAACTACTTATTCCTTATATGCACTATTTCAGTTATATATCATTGCAGTTCGATCTTTCCATGATAGCATTTGGTCTTCTCATTGATACTTAAAATGGATTTTATAACGAACATATCACAGCTATAATCTACACAGACTAGGTGCACATTAATCTATTAGTCAATTGCAATACTGAATATACAACGATTGTAAACTCTAGAGATATACTACAACTGATGACCGAGATATTACAGATGTTACTAAGAGTTATCATAAATAAATCAATAAACTATAAAATGATTCGATTGTTAATAAAGAAGAAGTTGATAATACTTATGTCAGGTATCGTTTTGTCTCAATAAGACAATTTCTATGGAACTAATATATTTAAAAAAGCAACAAATTATTCAAATTTGCATGTCAAAATAGTCACTATTGAGCAGTTTTGTAATATGTTTCTTAGTAACTACGAGTATCTGTATACATCTATCTTATAAATAACTGTTGAAAGTATTTTATGAGTAGTCAGAATGAAGCATAACTCATTCATTTCATCGTATTGATGATTGTCTCGACAACATGTTGCTTATGAGGAGACTACCTCAACTACAATCTACCATTTGTGCTCATACTGAGTCCACAAGGGAGTCTAGGTAATACTAGAAAAAGCTTAAACTGAGTATGTGTCATCTTCTTTTTAGCTATACCCACACATTTGCAATCACATCTACAGTCTTTGTAGAAATGATCAAGTTCTCCCAATATTTAAAAAAATCCAATAAAAAATGCCAATTTTTACTCAAAAATGGATCCATACGCTGGGTTTAGTCTAATACTTTCGAACCTCTGTTGTGAAACACAAACATAAGATATAGTAACATCAATTATACAATGTTAATACGTATACAATATGAGGTATACAATTGCAATTGTATCATTAGTCATGCAAATGTTCTTTTCTAATTATTCATTAGAATTTTGATCTCATATACATCGTCTTTATAACAACATGTACTAAGTTATAAACATAGGTTTCTTTGGCAAGTTTTTATTTTTAGTTTGGTGAAAATAAAATATGAAAAAAAAGGGTTAGATGTTTATTTAAAATTCATTATTTAACGATATTCTTTTGTTTTATAGGAACAGGACAATTTTCATATATTTCTTTTGCAAGCGTTTTCATTATCATATCAGAGTTTATTAACCTTGATATCACGAGTGGCCTTATTGAACGAATAATTGGATTTTCTGAGTAATTAAATAAACCCATATAGCGTGATATATTTACAACACGTTTTGTTCGAT